CCCCCCCGAGCCTGTGGTCCTGGGAGCCCCATGTGGCTTCTCCGAATTCCCAGAGCCTGCAGTGCCCGCGGGCCTCAGGGCAAATCTTGGGGTCTTGCACTGTCATCATCTTACCCAGGCAGAATCGACCTCCCCAGTGGCCCCCTCTCCTCTCCAGACATTTGCCAGGGCCCTCAGAAGAAGCTCCCATCTTCCCTGCTTCTTTCAGTCCTGTTTTATTTTCTTCCCAGCATTTGTCACCACTGCCCACAGCACCTGCAAGTTCAGGCGTTGGCTCTGTCCCCACTGCCTCAACCTCAAGGCGAGCTCAGGAGAAGAGAAGCACTTTGTTCCTCTGCACAGCTGTGTGTTCAGAGCCCGCATAGGCACTGGAGCATAATAGGTGCTCAGTTAACTCAGGTTGAAAGGAGTGCAAGCGTCTCCTCAGCACAGCTCCAGACAAGTCCCAGGCGCTTCAGAGATCCCAGCCATGGAAGCTCGGGACCCAGGGTGCTTGTTTCTTTACTAAGCCTCCTTCCTCCCACAGTCCCCAGGCCCTTTCTCTCGGGCCAGTCCGTCCCCTCCGCCAGAGTCCACCCCCGGGTGGGGGTGGTGGCTGGCAGGGCTCCGGCCTCTGTGCACGCCTCTGGCTGGGATCTGGGGGTTGCGGGTCTGCGCCCCCACCCCGCGGCCCGGGAGCCGCCCCGGGCATGCTCAGAGCGCGCAGGTCCGGGCGGCGGCGAGGGTGGGGGGCGGAGGAGGGAACAGCCCCGCCGCCGTGCGCTCGCCGGGCCGGGCGGAGCTGCGCAATCCTCGCAGCTGCGCCAGGACAGCGGCGCGGCCGTGCCCACAAGTTGCCGGCGGCTGAGCACAGCGCCGCGCCACCTCCTTCAGCTCGCAGCCCTCCTTGCCCACCCGGCGGTGACCGGCGCCAGGACGCACGTCCCGCGGACCCTGATCCCAGATGTGAAAGCGGGATCCGCAGCTCCTCACCCCCGGCGCGATCCACAGAGTCTAGCCAGCGTTTCCGCGGCCAGACCCCAAGGCTGGAAGATGTGGCAGCCGGCCACGGAGCGCCTGCAGGTAAGGGGCACACTGGAGGCCGGGGGCCAGCCTGGAGGAGGAGGTGCCCGGCTGGCTGGAGGGGCCGAGGAGGCGGTGCCTCTGCCCACTTGCCAGGGTTTGCCCAGCAGGATTCTGCAAGATGCACGCATGGGAAGCGGGTGCTGTGAGCTCAGCTCAGATCTGGGCACCGAGCTGGGGAAGGGGGTGATGAAATGAAGGGTCGCACTCGTTCGGGGTGTTACAACTTTTGGCCCCGAGGTATTTGTGTGTCTGTTGGTACAAATCATGTTAGACGTTCAGAGCTGCAATTTTAGATTGCATTCCACTGACACAATTTACTGGTCTGGGGCTAAGATTTTTGAATCCAGATATCCCCACCCCCCACCTTCTGTCTCCAGGAAAGACAGAACAAATGATTTGTGAAAGCATCCGTTTGCCAATATAACTTGGATATGTCAAGCTTGGTTTGGCTTGGTCATGGTATGCTACTTATTTTATTTTATTTTATTTTATTTTTCCGTTGCTCATTGGCTCTTCGTCTGCCCTGAATTCAGGCTTTTCTGGATGCTCCAAAGTCAGAAGTTGGGTTTAGCCAGGGATGGACGGCTGCATACCTTCGTCTGCCCTGAATTCAGGCTTTTCTGGATGCTCCAAAGTCAGAAGTTGGGTTTAGCCAGGGATGGACGGCTGCATACCTTCGTCTGCCCTGAATTCAGGCTTTTCTGGATGCTCCAAAGTCAGAAGTTGGGTTTAGCCAGGGATGGACGGCTGCATACCTTCGTCTGCCCTGAATTCAGGCTTTTCTGGATGCTCCAAAGTCAGAAGTTGGGTTTAGCCAGGGATGGACGGCTGCATACCTGGCATCCTATTGGAAGTTTCGCGCCGCTGTCTCCAGACCCGCCAGGCAGCCCGCCTTTGGTTTGGGTTCTAAAGCTAGGGAGTGGGTAAGGAGGTCAAAGTGAGAGAGGGGTATTTTCCCAGGAAGATTCCTTCAGTGGTACTTGGCCCAAGGGACCACCCCAGCGGCAAGGTCGCACACATCATCCCGAGAGGTGGCACCTCCTCTCAAGGGAATCCCGCAGTTAAACTTTCGGCAGGCTCAGAGCCACGTTGTTTCAGAGTAAACTTTGAAGAAGTACTTAAGAGGTAAAATCCAGCACCGTTGGAGCCTGCACATGTCTGGGGACTTGCAGCAGCAGGGCCAGGAGCCCTGGCTGGCTTGGGAGGTTTCTCAATGAACATTCCAAGCTCCAAACACAGACGGTCCCTCGGTGCTAGGCAAGGCCAGCTCTGCCTACCAGTCCTACTGAGGGCTGACCTGCAGGGGGCGTTGCATCTAGCCGGAGCAAATACCCCTAAGCTCCTTGCCAAGACTCCCTGGGCCATGCTTTGTGGGGAGCATGTTCTGTTTAACAGAGCCGGGCATTCCAGGCCCTTTCCTCGGAGGCCTCAAATGCTATAAACATGAAAACCAGCCAGGCGCTTTGGAGATGAAGAAGTGAGTGAACAGCCTCCTGGCTGTGACGGGCACAAGGTGATGAGGGTGTATTTTGGCGGTGGCAGCAGATACCTGCGGTGCCTTTCATCTCCTCCTGCAGTGCAAAGCATGCATCTGATTCCGAGAGGGAAGGTGGTGGTTCCCCATGCAATGCAGAGAGCAGCTGCTGAAGCGGAGAGGTCCTTACAGAGAAGGGGTCACAGTCCCTTGAGGTCTTAGGGCCTGGTGCTTGTGCCTATGAAGAGTTTGAAACTGGTCTGCGAAGTTATTCCTGCTGCCTGTCTCTCTCACGAGCCCCGTTTGCTCTGGAGCTCGTGATCCTTGGCAGGCAGAGCTCTGGCTCCTGTCCCCCAGGGTGATCATTCCTAGGCTGAATGTCTCCTCCTCTTCTGTGAAATGTGCACATGTGTGTTTTGGCGTGGGTCTGGTTTATTACAGTTTGCGTTTGCAATGTGTTTGTTTTATTTCAGGGTGCCATGTCCAAGGAGCTGGGGCTCTAGGCTTTTGAAAACTCTGGCTAGCAGGGCTTACCACTGAGATTCAGTCACTCTCGGAAGGTTCTTACCGACACCGGGTTCTCCTTTACATTCCCAAATTTAAATGTCAGTGAACCCGTTTCTCTTTTAAAAACACACTTTGAGCCTTGAGATTATAAAAGTGAGCCAAGTGCGGTAGTGGGGAGATCTTCATGGTTTCTTCCCTAACAGCCACTGGACTCTTTGTGAAAACACAGTTTGTATGTTTTTACTGTTTTTTGCTTCTGAGGAACTTTTTGCTGCGGAAGGTGAGGTGCCGAGTGAGCTGCTTGTAATAATATTTTATTTACGTTTCTTGTGGTTATTCCTTGCAGTTGTCACGGTCTCTGTTTGCTGCCTGGGATTTTTTTCTTGCTCGTTTTGCCCTGAAGGAACAATTAGAGAACACTGTGCATTTCCGATTCCTCCCTGCCTAGGACCCTGTGCCCGCTGCACATGCCACAGGCCGGGTCAGGGCAGTGGAAATGGTGCGGGGCGGGAGAATAGACCGCTACTCCGGAGAGAATGTTAAGTCCCGCCCTCCTCTTGCAAATCTTTCCAACCTCATTAATTTTTTTCTTATTAATTTTTATTATAAACATTTTAACTGAGATGAGCTGGAGTGCAGAAAATGCTTCAGGGAAATATTCCCAGAGCATCCTAATGGGTCCAAGGAATCAAGGGATTGTGGAAATACCTAGAAAACAAAAAAGGCGGTGAAAGAAAGGAACCCCATCTTTTCCCAGTGGATTGTGGTAGTTCTTTCAGATGAGCTCCACCAGCCTGGGAACGTGGCTTAACTTTGCTTCTAACCGACCCAACAGTCAGCCTCTGATTGTCTTTTGAATATAGCGGCTGGTTCCCACGCTCAGGAAATGGTATCTTTGATCAGATTTGATTATTATTATCCTTGTTTGGGGGAAAAAATGATGCTGATGTTTCCTGATTTGAGGTTTAGTTCTTTGACCCAAATCCAGCGCCGGGAAAGGGACCTGCTGCCCTGAGCAGAGCTGAGCTGGGTAATTTCTCATTCATCCCAGGAGCTGCAGCAACTTCATCTGCTCCCTTGAATGTTAAAACTTGGGTTGCGTCGGCCCCAGCCCTCGCTGGTAGCTTCTGCCATTAAAAATGTAATAGGATCAAAAGGAATGTGAAGACTTCAGTCACCACCCCAACTTTTAAAAATGTAAATATGAATTCCTCCCTTTGTACCTTCTCCTCGGCATAGCAGACTTTTCCTTTTATTTCTTCTTCTTCTTTTTTTTTTATAAGGACTCTGGAGAATTATACGTTTTTAAAGAAGCAGATTTGAAACAGTCTCTTTTCAGACAAATGAAGGGGATTTTTCAGTAGAAAAAGACTATTTTTTTAATAGAGATGAGATTTCTTCTAGCCTTTAATATTTTAAAATTTGTGTAGATTTTCTGATTAATTGTTATCTTCGGTGGGCTGAGGTGAGACCAGAGATACACATTTCCCTACAGCAAAGGTCTACAGTGAGCTACCAGATCCTTTATCTCGAGGCCAGGAAAGGAGAACAGGAAAAAGATGATACAGATTGAGTTCAAGATAAAGGAGACCAGCATATCCTTAGTAGTATGTTTGTTAGGAGGATGGAGCAGATCTTGGTAGTGGGAATGTACGAGATACACATTGTAGCAACCTTTAATCATGGATGGAGTCTGTATACCCCTGTCTTCTCATGAGGCAGTCTGTAAAGGTTCCAATTTAATCATTTGCCTGTCTTTCCCAGTCTTATAGCTTCCCCCCCGCCCCCCGGCAGTTCCAGAAAATGTAAAGCTTTTCATTTATCCTTGAAGGTGGAGTTTGGTTTTTCCTCCTGGACTATGTCTCTCCTCACCCCTCTTCTCCCACCTCCTCTTCCTTCCCTTTTCTCTCTTTCTCTTTCTCCTTCTCCTTTTCCTTCCTTCTTCACCTCCACCTCCACCTCCTCGGCTTCTTCTTCTGCCAGTGGCTATGTGTTGGCATTTCACAAAGAGGGTGAAGGGAGGCAACATAGGATGTAACTCATCTCTTGAGGACTTTTCTCTTGTTTTCTTTTCGAATTTTTGGCTGATAAAGAGGTTGAGGTTCTGAAGTGTTATTTGAGGAACTTAAGAGGTGAGGGTGTGTTTCCAGCTTACCTTTGCCCTGTCTTGTCCTATCTGGCAGATTTCGTCTTGAGTCAGAGTGTGGGTTGTTCTAGATCCCTCTCTCTATTATTATGTCAGGTTCACTGTTTCCCTGGGAGTGAGACTGAAGAACCCTCTAACACATCAGCTGGAGACCATTAGACCTGGCTCATCAGGCAGAGAGGAAACTGGGAAATCGGACACATTTCCAGGGGAACCTGATCAACGGGAGGAGCACAGAGGCAGGTCCAGAGTGTGTTCCCTGTGTGACGCTGTGCTGAGGAGTTGTAATTGAGTCATCTAGCTCACCTACCTCCCACAACCATTTTCATCCCTATTACATAAAGCAACCAGAAGCCAGAGACTTAAGAAATGAGCCAAGCCAGAATTTGAGCTCAGTGGTCAGGTCCCAAGCCTTACTTCCTAACGGCCTCATTGTTGTGAGGAAGGATGACATATAGCGTGATTACGGTGCTATGCACCCGTTGGTGCTGTTGCCCTGAGCACACGGACTGAGAACAGCGGCCATCCCATTGGGTCAGGGAAGTTGCTGTCAGAGTTCTTGCTGAAGCACATTTCCTATTAATCATATTGATCACATTAACCATACTGAGGTGAGAGATGGCTGAACTCCTCTTCAACTGGAGCACATGGCATTCATCCAAACTGGAGACCAGGGGAGGTATAAGGAAGGTGGTAATCAAGCCTCATCGGGTCTGGTCATCTCAAGTTCAGAGAAACCATGGTTTTGAGGGGAGGCTGGAGAGCTCTAAGAGGAACTAAGAAAGAAGTGGCACCTCCTCTTACCAAAGCACAAGCTTCCAACCAATCCCCTTGATGCTTTTGTGTCTTTTCAACTCTTATCCTTGAGAA